GAGGCGAAGATGCGCCAACGGTTTTTGAAGATTCCCATAGTTCGCTCCACTGCCATCCGAGTAGCCGACTGCACGTAGTTGAATGTCTGCTCCCATCCAGTCAGAAGCCTAGCTTTGCTTGCAAGCACGGGAACGAGGCAGTAGTCCTTCAATGGGTAGGCCGCATCACCTAGTAGTTGGTAGGGTTGTATGTCGCCATTGGCAATGCGTGTGTGTAATGCACTATTAGTGAAAACACGGCTATCGTGTGCAGAACCAGGCCAGCCCACCACGTAATCCCAGATTCTGCATCTAGCATCCACGGTGAGCTGGAGCTGCACCGAGTACATTTGCTTTCTGCAATAGTACTCTGTGCGGTACTCGTCAATGCCGCGCACTGGCAGATGCGTACCGTCAACCGCGCCAATCACATTAGGGACCCCCCTTGTTGCCCTGAACTCCGCCTCCATCTTCACCATCTCTTCACGTGATGGAAACCGCACCCAGTCGTTCTTGAAACGTCGGGGGAACACAAGAAGGAAACAATCGACAATGCGATGGCACACTGATTTTGGGACGCCGAAGAAGATGCTCATGTCAAGATATGACATGCCTGTAGCAAGGTATTTTATGGGGATCAACACACACAAACGAAGAGGAACCTGATGGCGTAAAGTCAGCTGGGAAAAATCATATGTCATGTGAGCCTCTAGGTGCTCCATTATTGCACGATTAATTCGGAACAGCGCCACAAACTCGGCCTCCGTCATCTCCTCAATTCGACACAGCCACCCCGCCATTGTCGCTTCCCTGCGTGCCCTGGTTTCAGTAGACATGGCGGATTGAGACGGCCGGGAAGGTCCCTCATTATCATCCGTGTCGATCATTTGCATCGCCAGTTGAGAGAGCAAGTCGTCCGTCTCTGCATCGTCGTCCGCCTCCCATTGCAGAAAAGCCGCTATCGCAATCGCTATCGCGGTGATGTCCAACGCCATGGCTGTTCGTTGTGCTGTTAACAAACCTAGTGATCAATTTATGCATGTGTGTGGTACCTACGACTACTGGTTTCAAGAGCTTCGGTGAGAAGGTGGAGGACGAAGTGCAGAAACAGGCTTGCGCACGTCAGTGGAACAACATCACGGACGTGGGCGAAAGGCTGGGGCATCTCAAATGTTTACAAATGCCCCCGTTCAGATGCACGTACAGTCAATACCACAACTGCGTCGTGCGTCGTTGGATGAGTTCGCTCACGGTCGTGGATGCGGCATTGCACGACCAAAACCACATTACATGTTGATGGGCAAAGTTCGAGCCGCATTTGCCCCAATTTCCTCACATTATACAAATTGGCGAACCGCGTGGGGTGACTTCGATGGCGGGCAAACGTGGGAACGCCACCTTAAATGTTTTCGTGAAGTGATATACCCAATCCCATCGCAGCAGTAAATGAGGCAGGGAGAAGAAAAACTGTTCAGCTCGCGAAGTTTCGTTTCGTGCGGCTGCAGTTTCGTGGGCCCCCAATTCCCGCGTCGCTCATCCGCGCCTTTTCCCCCAAAGGTTCCGCTTGCGCCTGGACCCCCGAATTGGAGTCAACGTTGGTTGACTCCGAGTTGACCACCCCGAACTAGAAACCCTAGCTGAGAATTTCGATCCCCCCCTCCATCCCTCGGTGGATCCCCTGTGCTGCCGAACATCGCCCTGATCTCTTCCAGCTGGCCTTGCGAGGCTGGAGTGTCTTCTAGCTGGGGTCGTCTCACTCAGGAAGGAACATTCTCAGGCCTTCGAGCCTATTTTCTGCACTTGTGGAGGAGTCGAAGCCATTTAGCTCTAGCGAGGCTGTTTCGAACGTCGCTTCAGCCGCGAGTTACTGCACACGGCTGTAAATTATGGCTTCTAGTACAACCCACATCCACGATCTTCTCGACGACGTCCTCCTTAGAATCCTATGGCCGTCCAAACAGTCGCGCCGCTCTTGCCGATCCGACAGCGATAAACTATGGAAGTCTGTGACGCCCAGGCCGAAGTTCCTCTACGCGCACGCGCTTCCAGACGAGCGCTGGTGCGCGCTAAGAGACACTCCGTTACCGATTCCTGCTAGCTCCGCAGATGCCGCTCACGGCCTGTTCATCGCGTCGGTCTGCCGCCGCTGGCGGCGTCTCGCGCAGAGGCACGTGTCGTCGCTTGTCGTCAAGGCAGGTCGCGTCGTGTCGCACCGCGATGCGATCAACGCCGTCGCTTGCTTTCCGAATCTGACGCATCTGCACCTGGAGGATGGTAGCGTTGAAACTCTCGACGACGCGTTTCTGGCTGACCTCGCCGCGTCGTGCCCTGGGTTGAGAGCTCTTTACGTGGGGAAGCTGACGATTGAACCGGGCGAGGGACTTTACGAAAGGGATGACTACAGGATAACGGAATCTGGCTTGGATAACCTTTTCCGTCTCTGCCCTCAACTGGAGCAGCTGTCGCTGCATTGCCTTCAAGAAAACCTGAACCCGCCAGCTTCTTTCTTTCAGCTGCAACATCTTCGCTCACTCTTCTTAACCACTGCGTTCATCTTAAAATCTCCAGATCTCAGCTCCCTTTCAACCCTCACTGACGTCTCCATTGAAACCTCCTCCTCCTCCCTTCACTACGACCAGCTTTCAAACCTCCTTCAACTCACCAGCCTCACCCGCCTCTCCCTGCCTGATGGAATCCGCGTGGCCTCAGCAGATCCGCCTACCTTCTCATTCGCCGAGCTGCCTTTTCTCGAGTCGCTCAAATTCGGGCTGTTCAGAGCACCCTTCAGCGTCTTCTTTCCTCTCGAAACGCCGCCGTACAGGCTGCTGAAACGGCTGCAGCTGAGCGATTGCTCTCCTCACGAGCGCCTTCCAGACAGTATCGGACAGCTGCTGCCGCGCCTCCAACAGCTCATCCTCCTTAACTGCAGAAGTCTCACGGATCTGACCGACGACTTCACCTCCCTCACCTGCCTGGAGAGCCTCACCATTTCCACATGCAGCGTGTTTTTTCTGCTCGAAAACTTTGGGAATCTCCCCGCCTTGAAAGCCCTGGTGCTGCGCAGACTACCGCTCCTCCACCTCCCTGCGTCCTTCACCAGACTCGCATCTCTGGAGACGTTTTTCCTCATAGAATGTGAGGGGATGGAGGAGCTACCTGCAGGGTTCGGATGCCTCACAACACTCCGGACGCTCAGCCTGGCTTGGTCACCCACCCTGGACCTTCCGGAAGACTTGGGTAACCTCTCCAGCCTCCAAACCTTCTACCTGAACAAGAACAGCCAAGCGCAGCTGCCGCTCTCATTCATGCAGCTGGTTTCATTGACCAGGCTGGAGCTGGATCAGTGCGCAATTGCTGATCTTCCAGAGGGTATGGCAGAGATGACAAACCTGCAGGAGCTGTACATTCAGAACTGCCCGGCTTTGAACGAGCTTCCGGAGTTGGTATCCGCGCTGGTCAGCCTTGAAGTGCTGCGGATTGAGGAGTGTCACGTTCTCTCCTCGGTTCCCAGGAGGCTGGACAGCCTAACCCGGCTCACGCAGTTAGAGCTAAGGGAGTGCTGGATGCTGAACCAAGCCCCTGAGGCTCTGCCTCTCAGCCTCCAGGTTCTGTCCTACGAGAACAACCAGCAGGGGGGGTCGCTGCCAGACGTTTCAGCGCTCACAGCTCTAAAGGAACTGTGCCTGGGCACTGTGGGTGCAGCCTGTGTTGAGACCATCTGTGCGCGACTTTCCGGTGTGACGCACCTGCAGCTGGTTCTGGGAGAAGAGGCAGGGGAGGCTCTGCCCGCGTTGACGAGGCTGCCTCGCCTACGCACCCTGACACTCAAGGAGATCCGCAGTGTGAACGATCTGGTGGGATCCGATGGCTGGGGATTGCTGGAGCTGCGGCAGCTCAACCTCACCACCTGGCGAGAGGAAATCACAGAGCTGCCTGGGGCCATCACCGCTCTCCACCGCCTCACATCCATCCAGTTCCTCGCGCCGAAGCTGTCCTCCCTTCCGGACGCCATTGGGTCATTCCCAAGACTGCGCAAGCTCAACTTATCCCACTGCTCAACCCTCACGCGTCTCCCTGCTTCTCTCACACAGCTATCCTGCCTGTGTGAGCTGGATGTCAGCCACACCAGAATCAGGCTGATTCCTCATGGTTTCGCTCAGCTTAGAAGACTGAGGAAGCTCAATTACAACAACTGCATCCACCTGCAGCCTCTGCCTGATGACCTAAATGATCTGTATATGCTCAATTTTTCTTACGGTAAATAGTTTTCAGTTAGACGGATAATGGAATCTGCACTGCACTGCACACTGTAAGGACTGACATTATGGGCTGACATTATTCGAGAAAGATGGCATGGCATGACATGCATGCATCTTTCAGGCATCTCCTGGCTCAAGGCTGCATCTGCATTACTGCAACACTGCACAAGGTTGCTCAATAAAAGGGTATGGTATGTTGACAACTTGATACGCAATGAGGTGCTCCGGTTCGTTATGGGCAGGCCGAATAGAAGAATAAGCTTACCTAGGTCCTAGCCATGCTTTAGAATGGCATGTTACCCCTTTGTTCCCATCCCACATCCCCCCCCCCCCCCACATGTGGTGCGGGGCTTGTTTGAAGTTTTTTCACACCTCTCGATGGCCATTCCCTGCTGTTAGAATTTCGTTATATATAAGTGCATGTATATATGAAAGGGTGACACTGTGAAACAGGATAAAGAGGCTAATACACCCTGAACTTTAGAGCCCTACCGGTATTTGGCAACTTCTACCATAGATGATCATGCCGCCACGATACGCAGACACGAGCCGTGAAGCGATCGTGACGGAAGAGCTGGGAGAAACCCGGGCATGTAGGACTCTAGAGTCGTATCGGAGGGTGTTAGCAGCATGTGGCATTACAGCAATGGCCACCACCACGTGCTGTATCCTCATGGATGGAGGATCAAGTACTGAATCGTGCTACGTGCTGTATCCTCATTGGCATCATTTTGCCACGGTATACCGCAATTTGGGTTCCCGTTAGTGCCGTTCATTTCCCCCATGCTCTATGTAATGAATCAAGGACCTCACAACAGCCTCCCCAACGCCACCTCTCATCACCACCTTCCCCCGCCTGACCGACCCGTAGCAGTGGTAATGATGATCATGCGGGCACACATCCATAAACCGCGGCGCCTCCACTTGCCAGCTGTCGAAAAACTCTATACGGGGGACAAAACCGTCATCCTTACCAGGACCAGCAGCAGGCACAGCGTTGCTGCCTGCGTTGATCTGGTCAGCCAGGTGTTTGGTCAGGCGGTTAGCAGCGGAGAGAAAGAGGTTGGTGGCGGGGCCTTCGTAGAAGCGGCTCGCAATGCTGCTGCTGCCCCCGCCATTGGGTGCTGGCGGTGCAGAGCGCACGATCAGCCGAACCCGCCGAGTGCCTGAGGCTGCCGAGCCTGAGGCTGCCGAGCCTGTGGCTGCCGAGCCTGTGACTGCTGAGCCTGTGGCTGCGGAGGCGGCTTGGAATCGGGCCCAGGCGAGGTATTCAGGGAGGTGGGTGCGGAGCGCGGAGAGAGGGTGCAGACAACGCCTGCCGGCCCAGTAGCCGCTGTTGATGATGATGACGTCACTGGAGCGGGAGATGTTGGGGAAGACGTCGTAGTGATGTGAGAAAGCCCCTCGGTACCTGGAGGGTGGAGGGGGAGGGGGACGGGCATGGGGATGCGAAGGGGGATGGGAATGTGGAATGTGGAAGAGATTAGTTTTGAGAATTCTCAAAACTAATCTCAAACAGCATGAAGATGACGAGCCTGCTTTTGAGTCGACTCAAAAGATGACGAGCCCTTCATAGGAGTCCAGGTGTGTTGTGAGTCGACTCAAAAGATGACGAGCCCTTCATAGGAGTCCAGGTGTGTTGTGAGTCGACTCAAAACACACATGGAGTCGCTGTTAATAAAAGCTTCTCCATGTTGGGGAAGACGTCGTAGTGATTTGAGAAAGCCCCTCGGTACCTGGAGGGTGGAGGGGGAGGGGATGGGGCATGGGGATGGGGATGGGGATGGGGATGGGGATGGGGATGGGGATGGGGATGGGGATGGGGATGGGGATGGGGATGGGGATGGGGATGGGGATGGGGATGGGGATGGGGATGGGGATGGGGATGGGGATGGGGATGGGGATGGGGATGGGGATGGGGATGGGGATGGGGATGGGGATGGGGATGGGGATGGGGATGGGGATGGGGATGGGGATGGGGATGGGGATGGGGATGGATGGGATGGGGATGGGGATGGGATGGGGATGGGGATGGGGATGGGGATGGGGATGGGGATGGGGATGGGGATGGGGATGGGGATGGGGATGGGGATGGGGATGGGGATGGGGATGGGGATGGGGATGGGGATGGGGATGGGGATGGGGATGGGGATGGGGATGGGGATGGGGATGGGGTGGGATGGGGATGGGGATGGGGATGGGGATGGGGATGGGGATGGGGATGGGGATGGGGATGGGGATGGGGATGGGGATGGGGATGGGGATGGGGATGGGGATGGGGATGAAGATCATGAGATGGTTATGGGACAAGCTAAAGCCATTAAATGTTGGGAGACAGCAGTGCTGAGAAGTAGCAGTGTTGTGGGACGGCTCCTCCGGGGGACTGGTGGGACCAGAGGGGCAAGGGGAAGGGGGTTGAAGGGGAGCACAGGGGAGTAACGTCCAAGCTGAAACTGCTGGACTGGACGTTGGGGGAGCAGAAGGCCCGCATAAGCGCAGAAGGGAGGAAAGGGGAAGAAAGCAGATATGCGAAGCGAACAAGCATACACGGGTTCTTCAGCTTGGTAACGATAGCCTCCCAAGTGCTTCAGCTATAGCTAGTCTTCTAAGATGTCAAGCAAGAGAGACTTGGAAACATGCACGTGCATCTGAGCTCTCACTTTCGAATAGGAGACTGATAGAAACTCCACAACACGCAAGCGAGTCCAAACCCTTTCACGCATGAAATCCTAAATCTACTCTCTTCTGATCCAAAACCCGCACGTGCATCCAAGCCCTCTCCCCCTCATGTGCATCTGAACTTGTCGTTGCGGCAAAACCCATCCACCCAGTAAAATTTGAAGCGGAACCAGCAGAGAGAGAGGGGGGGGGGGGAGGGGGGGGGAAGAGGGAACGGGCATTTTAGCCACCCGCGTGCATCCAACCACGTCGTTGCGGTAGATCCCGTCCACTACCAACCATTAGACCCAACGACGATGGGATTTACCGCAACGACGAGGCTGGATGGAAAATCCCAACCTCGTAGTACAAGATGATGAGAAAAAGTCAATCCATTAGACCGGGGGGGGGGGGGGGGGGGGGGGGGGGAAGGGAGAGGAGAGAGCGGAGGGAGTGGGCACAAGGGGCACGCACGTGCATCCGAAATCGTCGTTGCGGTATATCCCATCCACCCAGTAGTAGTTGATGCAGAAGGCGCAGAAGAGCAGAAGAGCAGAACACGGGGCAGGCACAAAGGGGGGGGGGGTGGGCACTCACGTGCATCCGAACTCGTCGTTGCGGTAGATGCCATCCACCCAGTAGTAGTTGATCCTTAGCGTCTCGTTCCTCTCGTTGCGCGCCACAAACGCCAGGTCGTGCTTGCCGATCCAGTGCCGCAGCTCCGCCTCGCCCGTCAGCAAGTAGAAGAGGTGCGTCGCAAGCATGCGGTGGTGCGAGTCCCCCGCGATCGAGATCTCCCGGATACCGCGCCGGGTGAGGGACGAGATCCACTCACCCACTGGAGTCTCTGGCGGGGCACACGGGAAGGGTACCCACTTCCACGTGCTTTTGCCCGTGCTGCTCTTGCCGCCCATGCCGCTCATGCTGCTCTTGCTGCTCATGCTGCGCTTGCTGCCCCTGGTGCCACTGTCACTGGCACTGGCATAGGCACTGCCAGCGTCGTCACTCTCACTCTCTGGATCCATCTCAAGCCATCTCCCCATTACTGACCCTCTGCACTGACCACTACTCCTCTCCGCCTCTCTTTCCTGCTCGCTGTCTCTACCAGTCAGCTGCGTCTCGGCGTCTTCCTCTCTCGCTTCTCTCCTCTCGGACTCCTCTGCTCTCACTTCTAGGACACGTGGCAGCTCTGCTGTGGCTACGCGCAATAGCCGGTGGTTGAAAACCTTGCTAGTGGCTGCTTCGTTATAAGATGGTCGATTGGTGGATGCTGCTTCGTTTTGAGAGGTAGGAGGTGCGCTGGGAGGGGTTGTGCGGGATGGTAGGACCGTGATGGTCCATGCTGCCACCTCATTGGCGCCACTTGGTGCGTTGTTGGAAGAAGGCGAGGGGGAGGAGGAGGAGGAGGAGGAGGAGGAGGAGGAGGAGGAGGAGGAGGAGGAGGAGGAGGAGGAGGAGGAGGAGGAGGAGGAGGAGGGGGGTGAGTGGGGTGCAAGCAGAAGGTTGGAGCATCCTGCATGGAGGGAGGCCCTGTGACATCAGACGACATGAGACGACATGAGATGGGATGAGAGGAGATGAGAAGACATTGATTGAGATGAGATAATAAAAAATCACATGGGCAGAATACAGATAACGAACTTATTAGAAAAAATGTGAGAGGGGAGGAGTAAATGGGCTCAAACAGATCACAATTTCATAGCTGACTAGGACAAAGATGACCCAAGACAATGAGACGAGAAGAAACGAAGGTGACAGGCGAGGGGGTTATTGTGTAGGGGGTTCACCCAGATCACGTCACCCATCCCATCACTAACAGAAGGACTAAGCTCCACCTCCAAAATCACCCAGGAACGCAACCAGGTCCTTCCTGGGAGGACTCAGGAGTCACCTCGGGTACCACTACAACCATTCCCCTGGTCACCTTGACTTGACCAAGAAAATTCCAGTGGTTCCCTCCATTTCTAGAACAATCTTACACAGACACCACTCACCCCCCCATCTGTTGAGACGCCTCAAACCTATCAACTACTCACTGGTACGTCCCGGCGTCCCAGGCTCGGTAAGCGGCGACGAATCGGGAGCAGGTGGGAGGGTCGGCACAAACAGGGTCGGCATGGAGCAGCGAGGGGCCGATGAGGGAGAGAGAGAGCTCGCGCTTCCACCAGCTCAGCACAGATGAGTTTGAGGGATAGCTGGGTGGCGATGTGCTGCTGCTGCTGCTGCTGCTGCTGCTGGTGCTGCTGGTGCTGGCGCTGGTGCTGCTGCTGCTGCTGGTGCTAGTGCTGCTGCTGCTGCTGCTGGTGCTGGTGCTGCTGCTGCTGGTGCTGCTGCTGCTGGTGCTGGTGCTGCTGGTGCTGGTGCTGGTGCTGCTGGTGCTGGTGCTGCTGGTGCTGGTGCTGGTGCTGCTGCTGGTGCTGGTGGTGGCGGTGGTGTTGTTCTCGTAAACGGGAGGGAGTGTCCACGTGGCGCCTGGCGACTCGACGCTTATGAAGAACGTGCAGGTCTGGCCTAAAGTGCAGGTTGAACAGCCGCTGCCGTATACAAACAGCCCCCCGTGCCCAATAGCGGGTCCTTGTGCTAATAGTAACGGGGATGACGGCTTTTCTGACGTGGACATCCAGCAAAGGGGAAATTCCGGATTCCAGGGAACCCATACGGCTGGTGGAGACACGTCACTGCCGTTAGATGCCATACTAGAACCCACTGCAGCACTGTACAGCTCAATTGCCACGTCAGCATCCAGCATACCCGCAGTTACATTCTCCGACGCGCCTCTGGCAGAAGTAATCAACGGTTGCGGTTGAGTGATCGGTTTCAACGGCTGATCGGATGTTTGCGTTCCAGAACCAGTTGAATCTAACGGCTGAAATTGTAGCTTGGGCTTTTCAAGCAGTTGTCGCGATCCCGGGGTTGCTACAAGCTGTAGCGGCGATATCATATCTGGCGAGACTTGTTGTGACTCAGTCACCACAGGCTGTGGTGATGGTGCTCTCAACGGCCGGGAATCCGCTTGAAACGAGTCTGCTCTTCTCGGGGACAGAGAGGGAGGCGAGGCCGGGGGAGTGGCGGCGGGAGGCCAAGGAGAGAAACTGCGCATTGGGGGTGAAAGGGGAGGGTGCGGGGTGAGGGGGGGCAAGAAGCGGAAGGGGAGAGGAGGTGGGGGGAAAGCAGGATTCTGAAGTCCGCGAAGCTGTATACATCAGTCGTCTACGTAACGCGACGTGTCGATCGCACACTAAGCTCGTCTAACGGGCTAAAGTTTTCTATATCATATACTACCGTACCATGACGCCCAATAAGCATGACGCACCTTGGGAGCCCGTCAACGCCGCTGCCGGCGAGTTTCATCTCCTCGAGACCCGCGACGGGCGGCTGGCTGTCCCGCCCATCATCGCCTTGCTCCGCGTGGCGCGGCCACAGCTGCACAGCTGCGCGCACAGCGAGCAGCGCGAGAAGGAAGCTAATGAAGAGGCGGCAGCGCCAGCGGCCCCGGGTCACGTCCACAACCACTGGTTGTGGCAAGTCCCGCGGAACAACCAAGTCGACGCGCTCGGAGACTTTCCCGAATAACCCGCACACGCCGCTCCCTTCCCGAGCGTAATTTGCGTCTCGAATCATATCTTGATGATCTTGGTGATTGTTTTTCAACCTGCCAACCTCAGGCTCCAACTCTCTGACTCTCCTCTTACTGAGTCCGCTCCACTGACTCTCGCCGAGGGGTCGGTGTTTCTGAGGGTAGTAAATGCTTCAAACGCGCTTCCTACTTTTTTCAAGCGGGATGTTTTTACGGCCTGCTCGAGTTCCAACCTTGGAGAATTATATGCGGAAAAGGTAGTCAATGCCGCATGAGGAAGCAAGTCGAAAGCGGCGCCTGCCGTCTTTGAATCCATGGTACGTAGCAGAGCCGACTCTGAGTCGAACCGCTTTGAAAGCGAGCAGTCAGTGATTGATTCGCTGCACCCGGCCCAGAATAGTTCGGCTATATTGTAGATACAATGCTGCATAGAGTACCGGTAAATTGAATGTAGCAAAACGTATAAGTACATAGTACGAGGCCCTCCCGTTTTTGTGAGCGGCCGAAGGGCACAGGATGGCCTGCACAAACCCAGCTTGGTTCAAGCCTAACCGACTTGAAGCCGATTTCTGTGTCCTACCACGTATGCCCGGTTGTGTTCTGACGAATTCCGATTTGCTGCTCGCGCGACGCCGGAGGAAGCCGGCCATTGTTGAGTGCGAAACAGGGTGGATCTCGCGCGCATACTTTATTGTGTAGGTACTACTGTAGGAGCTTGTTGCCTACCGTTGGCACACGGCGTCAAAACCTGTGGGCCACTCTTTCTTGCCGTGCCTCCGTCGAGCCGCGTTGGTTGAATTGAGTGCCAGGGCTGCGGTTCGTCAGAGCAGCAGCACCAATTGACGCACTGTGTCTGTCGCAACTCCAACATTTGGCGGGCCGACATGTGCGACCTTGTACACTACAAACGTCCCGATTTAAGATCTCGCACTGATATGCTCCATTTTCAGAAACGAGTAGCCATTTCCACCTTTTCTTAGATGTAGCACTTCCTGTATAGTCACCTTATGGGCATGTATTTTGCTAAGTGACGAGGTTGATACACCTTAAGCTGGTCCAGGGGCAGTCAAAATGCCTTATACTCGATACAAGGAAAACCTCACCAAAGACAATGTTGAAAGTAAGTTGTACTGAGATCAGAGGGCCTCATCTCATCCCCGATTCCTACACGTCCTCCACCATCCAATCACCTTGCGGGGTCTTTCTACTCACCTCATCCCTCTTCTCTTCCTCCTCTCCATCCCCTTCCCCTCCGCCTCCTCATCCCCCCCACCCCTCATCCCCCCCACCCCTCTTCCCCCCTACCTTGCCTGCACCCACCCCTCCAGATTCCAACACTTCCTCGCCACCACACACTCTGATCCATTCACCGTATCAGCAGCAGCAGCACCAGCACCAGCAGCAGCACCCACACCCCCACCCGCATCCCCCGAACCCACTCCACGCGCCGATGTAAGCACTACCTCTCCACTCCCCCAAGGCAGCTGCACAAAGTCCTGCCGGCAATACCCCAGGTCCAGCCCACGCCCCACACACGCCCCCTCCAACTCCCCGTCCATCATTGCCCCCACTGCCGATTCCCCCGATGCAGACAAATGCTGAGCAGATCCAGCCGCGGAGGAAGAAGAAGAAGAGGAGGCCGATGAATCAGCTGCATGGACGATGCTCTTTCCCGTGGTGGCAGCTTGGGAAATATTCCGTGCTAGGGACACTAGCAGGGATATCCCCGCGATATCCTCCTCCCAGAGCCGCACCGGCCGGTCCTTGAGAAAATGCTTCCGGCACCCCAGCGCCGCGACCCCCCCCGCCCCCGTTATACTCTCCACAAAGCAATCCGCTACAGTCACATTCAGGAAAGCCACATCGGCCTCCGCCCATGTTCTGATCTCGTTTATCACAGCAGCAGGCAGCCCCTGGGTCGCTGTGGCAGGCGGACGCTTAGCAGCATCGGCAGCAGCAGGGTTGAAGGGCCAGAAAGGGCCGGGATGACACTGGTGCTGGAAATACGGGAGACCGGAAGACAGCACGAGGGATTCGAACCGCGGAGAGTACACATGGAATGGCATGATCTCAATGACAGGGGTTTCCCGGGTGGCGAACGCAGCGGCCGTTGCGAGCTGTTCCCCGTGCAACCCCAGGATGATATCCGCGCTGCGAATAGCAGAGTAGGAGCGGGAGAAGGAGGTATCGCGCATGGCGGCTTCAGTCACGGTGAACGAGAGGTTTGTCTGGAGGTTTTTAATGAGGGCTTCTAGGCTGTCTGGGACTATAGACCGCACTGCAGCGTCTGCCTGCCGCACCAACACCACGTGCGAGGCTGTAGGCAGGGAGACGGCCGCGGTGGTTGCGTCGGCTGCTGGTTCGGCTGAAGCTGAGGACGCCGGAGCAGCAGCTGAAGCCGGTGCTGTGGCATCAGCATCAGCAGCAGCAGCCGCTGCAGCAGCATCAGCCTTAGCGGCAGAGGATATACCCAGCTTAGCATCCACCTTGTGAAGGAATATCTCTGCCTGAATGCGACCCAAGGGGTAAATCACCCCATCCAGCACTCCTGGCAGCACCACATGCTCAAAGCACATGGGAGCATCCTCTGTGGCTGCCCCCCACTGCCCCTCAAACTCCACCTTGCGCCCCTCCTCGTCCTCCACACGCGCTCCCTCTCCCCCCTCCTGCCCTTGCACTGTCGGCTCCTGGGGATCGAGCAAATTAGCTCTCTCCCAATCCCTGCTGCCTGCACGACCACCCGCACCACCAGCAGCAGCGCCACCAGCAGAACTGTTCTTTCCCCTCTCGCTTGATTCAAAAGCCGCTCCCAGCAGCTGTTCCAGCACACCCACCTGGAACCCGTCGGGGCCCAGACCCTTGAGCACGGCACGATAGTACGAGTCCCGGGGGAACACAAACCGGTGCACGGGCGGCAGCAGCGCGGGGACCGTCGCGTTGTTCACGAGCAGAATGGGGAAGAAGCGCGCGACAAAGGCCGAAACGTCCTCTGTTCCGGCCTCCATTCTCTGGATAAACGACCTGCCTAGCCGCCACGCCACCGGCCCTTTCCTTGTGCTAATCCAGTCAGCTGGTCGGGTTGCGATCGGCCGGAATTCCCCGGCTTTTCGGACCAGATCGAGCGGATCCTGGCCGTTGATCTTGGCCTGGCAATGGAGGGCTACGATTGGCGCGTCTGGGGACACGTCTGAGGTGAGCTGGTTGCAGGGGATGGGGGCTTCGGGGTTGGCGGTTTGTGCTATGAGCTGTCGGCCGTCCCAGCAGAGGAGCTTGCAGGTGCACATCACCTGGTGGTGTGGGGGAAGGGGAAGGGGAAGGGGAAGGGGAAGGGGAAGGGGAAGGGGAAGGGGAAGGGGAAGGGGAAGGGGAAGGGGAAGGGGAAGGGGAAGGGGAAGGGGAAAGAGCACAAGCCAATTATCGAATACATCCAAGGCATTTGAGGCGTCCCAAAAGTCAATGGAAATTGCAGGTGCACATCACCTGGTGGTGTGGGGGAAGGGGAAGAGGAAGGGGAAGAAGAATGGGAGTTGAGACGTCCTAAAAGTCAGAGGAGATGGCACGTGCACATCACCTGGTGGGGTGCGTGCGGGGGAAGCGGAAGAGGGGTGAAGAGCAGGTGGTGAAGACGGGCAAACAAGGGACGAGGGGGCGCAAGGTGAGTGTGGTGTGTGTGTGAGTGGCGGTGCGGCAGGAGAGCACACTGTCTCGCCACAAGAGAAGACATGGGGCTTGGGGATTGTTCGTCCGCAGAAAAATCGTCTGCTTATGAGTCGACTCAACAGCAGTGTGGTGTGTGAGTGGGTGGCGGTGTGGCGTGGCAGGAGAGCACACTGTCTCGCCACAAGAGAAGAGATGGGGCTTGGGGCTTGTTCGTCCGCAGAAAGAAAGCGTACTAGGTGGGTGAGTGGTGGAAAAAAGCGAGGACAACGGAGTATCAGGCAAACACAGCTGAAAGGGGTTTGGGGAACGAGTCAAGATGGACATGTGGGCGGAGTGGGGGGGGGCGGAGTTGGGTGGGGAGCGGGAGAGAAATGGAGGTAAGCGTGTGCCTTGAAGCGCCTCGGAAATTGGCCGGACTAGGCATGGACTTTGCTCAGGGCGGCACACGTCTCAGTTTTGGTCAGGACGGGGGTGGGGAGAGAAAAGAGAGGTGGGGGAGAGAGGGTGGCGCTGAGAGGTCTGTACTGTGGGAGGAAGGGTGGGCGGAGAGGGGGAAGGGTGGTAGGGGAGAGGGTGAGGGGAGCTGCAGAGGAGAAGGAATTAGAGTTTTTTTTACATAAGACGTCCCTGCCCCATGTTTCGTGAATGTTTCATATGCGCGTTTGGATTGAATGAACCCATCAGTAATGCTGCTTCCATAATATCCTCGTTGTAAACTTCCCCTAGAAGGGCTATAATTGCACTCCACAGACAGACAGCTCTTGGTTGGTATTGAAGCGGAGGGGATAGGCGGGGAGAAATAGTGGAGAGAGAGGGGGGTGGGACGGATAGGGGGGAAGACGTGGCGGAGAGAGAGGGGGTGGGGGGATAGAAGGGAGAAAGGAGTGGAGAAAGGGGCGGGCGGCCTTACGTGGAAGGCGCCGCCCGGGCCTGAGATCGTTTGGAAGCATCCGCACGACGTCTTGCCGCGCACCAGCGCGCTCAGCCGCGCCTTGCGCGCTTGTTCCGCCTGCGCCTGCTTCCGCGCAGCCTCCGCCTTGGTCGCCTTCGTGTCCGTCACTGCCACGTGTACGTCCATCGCCCGCACCGGCTCCTGCTGCTTCGCCGCCAGCGCCGCGGCGGCGGCTGCGGCGGCGTTGCCGGCTGCAGCGGCTCCGCCGCCGCCGTCGCCGTCTGCGCCGCCGGCGGCAGCGGCCGGCACGGCGACGGTGGCCAGCTCGGCGTTGATGGCGGCGAAGCGCTGCGAGATGAGGCCAGGCTTGGAAGGCTTGTAGGCGCGCGGGATGGAAAAGAGCAGCGTGACGATGATGACGCAGGGGAGGACGAGCAGCAGCTGTAGGAAGAGCAGCGAACGGGGATTGCCGGGCGACAGCAGCGACGCCGCTAGGCGCTTAGCCTCTCGCATGGCGACGAGCGAGTGCGAACGAGTGGGTCAGGGCGAGAGAGAAAAAATGACGGGATGCAGATAGGAGATACCCGTAGCTCAGGTTGATGTCGAATGTAGCGATTGTGTCGTGCGGTGACGTGAGATCGTCAGTTGCCGATTTGGGAATCTTAGACACTACCGAATCGAAGGATCATAAACATACACCTAATAAGGTGATCATAATGACTGGCCACGATCCTCGCGCAATGTACTCCGACGATCTTGATGTCCAAGGTGTCACCTTGCGTAAGGTGCGCGTGTGGCCTCGGTAGATTCAAAGTCAAATAACTACATCCGATTACTGCAAGGCCATGAAAGGTCTCACAGCCGTTGAGTCGTGGGGTTGGCGTTTCACAGCTAACGAAGAGAAGTTGGCCCCACGAGATCGACGTCAGTGATTCACCGCTAATCACGATGACATTGGTCGTGGCCAGCGAATGTGATAAAACAAGGTTCTCCAGAATGCATCAGCCTGTGGAGTGCTCCCTGGGGGTTGTTGGGAGAGTCTGGTTTGGATGCAAGCTTGGGGAGCGGAAACCTTTTATAAGCTGCTTCAGCATTGATGATAATTTACATTACAGTATAGAATGTTGCGACTTCACTAGTCTCCTATGAAGAAATAATACTCACAGCTAATAATAAAGCTTCATTCCTGTTCGCTGTATTGTTGACATCACCATGCATGCATCGTTCCTGCTTCTTGGGTAGATACACCTTCACCAGTTGATCTGCCATCATCGCAACACAACCATTGGTCGCTGGTGCTGGCCGGCTTCATCTTCCGCCCAGCTTCGGGTCCTAACCTAGCCAGCAAGGTAAGGGAGGACCCTCTGCCATACAGCAAAAGCCAGACCCAATTACCGGACCTGTATCCGGACCTAGCTTCGAAACGCTGGCGCCTCGTAGTTGTGGAATTTGCTGATAAAAGCATTTTGACGGACAAAACATTCCTAGAAGTTGACAAACGCTCGCTGAATCTGCCAACATCGAAGTGATCGCACCAGCATTGCGAGCCCCACCAACCTTGGCAGTGTCGTAGGAATAGGCTGTCAGTTGACCCGACGTTCACAGGAAAGCGGCGACCCCCTCCACTCAAATTCGTGTGCTCCGTTTCATCTTGCCACTCCGTGTCATCCCATCGACCACCATTCCGTGTTCATTCTATCTGAAGCAGGAGGCCAAGCAGGGCCGTACGCCGCAACCATGTTCACAGTGCGGTACTTCTACCCAAAGACGGACCTTGTAACGCGTACTGACACGCCCGTTACACCACTCATTCAAGGTGAGCACTGGAATTCTGTTCCCCCAAAACGGCATTCACGCTGTTTCACCAACCCATTCCTGCCTACCACCACCGGACTGCTGTTATAAAAAAACTCCAATGCTTCCTGACACAGGAAGCATCATAGCACACTAGCATCAAATTGACCAGCTTGTCGTCGCCATTTTCAGCGTAATTATGCCTCTTAAGTCGTGTACAACCACTGTCAGCCTTCAGGAGAATAAGTCATAGCGGCGTCGACTCCATAGTTCTTTTTTTCCTGACGGCACTGATTCGCACACGTCAGCTGTATTGAAGGAATAAATGCCGCTTCGCCAAGCTTCGCTCTAGCTTTCTTACGTTCCTTAATACATGCCCGTGCTATTGAGCAGATTCGCACCTAATGGCAGGCGCTGGGCAAGCACATTCAGCGTCGCCGCCGGATCCTCGGTTCACAATTGACGACGTCGCAGAGACTCACGACGACCACGACGACGTTGGCAATGTCGCACACGAAGTGGTCATTGTCGCGAACGGATTCCGATCCGGCGACTCATCGTGGCCGCAGGCGAAGTCGTCGTCTTCGCCACTCTCCACCACGATCATGCGCCAAGCGAAGTTGGAAGCTCAGGACGATCTCGACGCTAACAACGAGTTCGACAATAGAGAGGACGGCTTGGAGGATCGGGAGCCGATGCTCAAATCGCCAGCAGGAGCAGCCTCCGGAAAGCTTAAACCGTTCAGCTTGGAAACGCCAGCGCACGGCGGCGGAGGGGGAGGCCACCACGGCTCAGGCGGCGGCCATGGATTCGCAGGAGCTACAGTATCAAGCGGGATTTTTAATCTCTCCACGTCGATAATCGGAGCAGGCATTATGGGTCTACCAGCCACTCTCAACGTCCTTGGCTTGCCGCTCGGAGTGCTGCTACTTGTAGCGATGGGGCTTCTAACGGAGCTGTCGATTGAGGTGCTGGTGAACGCATCGGCGGTGCGGCGAATCTGGACATACAGCGGGCTGGTGGTGGAGGACTGCGGGCAGCGGTCGCGGCTGGTGCTGGATCTGGCCGTGCTGGTTAACAACGTGGGCATGTGCACCGTGTACCTCATCATCGTTGGTGCGTTGCTGCGCTGGTGTGTGTGCTGGTTTGGTGGTGTGTTGGCGCGTTGGTTTGTTGGTGTGTCAATGCGCTGGTGTGTTGGTGCGTTCATGGACCGGGGCTGCGTTCTGGATGATGAAAGAACCGGATAGGAATGACGTGGTGACGGGGCTGGGATTACAAAGGCTGGTAAGCTTGCACGATACAGGGTTCTGGTTGGGCTCGCTGGTGGGAACGAATCAGGGTTCTTGACCCTGATCGTAACCAATTGACAACTCTTTTGTCCCAGTTCCCTTCACACAGACTCCCGCGATAACATCTGCAGCGGAGGAGGAAGAGTGTACGTGATCCGTTGCTGTTTATCACTATCACACCCGAGACAAGCTTTTCAGAATCCACATCTGCCTTCTCTCGCCCCCACCCAGCTGATGTTTTGGCCCGCACATCAGTGCAGCATGCAGGATTATCCTCAGTAAAAGCATTTCGCTCACAAAACCTCAGCCTTACTATCAGACCTGATGCAGTGTTTCTACAACCCCCTCCTTCCCTTCCCCTTCCCTTTCCATCCTCTCTCTCCACCTTCCCCCCACATCCCAAACCCCCAAACTCCATTCCCCCCAGCTCCAGCTGACACGGTGGCGGGCACATCAGCACATCACGTGGCATCATCCGCAGTGAAATCCATGCAAGGAAACCCATTTCCATCAGACCCCAAAACGGCTTTCACGTATTCCCCGGCCTTCCCCCACCCTCCCCTCTCCTCCCCATTTCCCCCCTCTCCCCCCCTCCCGCCCTACACCCCCAACTCTCGCTTCCCTAACAAACCAACCCCCTGCTTTTTCCCTCGTTTGCAGCGGACGTGGTGGCGGGCACATCGGCGCAGCACGTGGTGGCATCCCCAGTGGACGCCATGCGGGAGGCATCGCTACACGAGGGGCTGCTGGCAGAGTGGGGGCTGGTGGCGGGGGCATGGAGGCCCATGCGAAAATAATCACTTTCATCAGACCCCCGTTTATCTTTCAAATATCCACCCCCCCACCTTTCCCCCCCACACACACCCCCTTTCCCCCTCTCCCCTTCTCTGTCTCCTCCCTCCCTTACCCCCCACACCCCATTCCCAACCCCCCCTTATTGCCCCATCCCCAGCGGACGTGGTGGCGGGCACATCAGCGCAGCACGTGGTGGCATCCCCAGTGGACGCCATGCGGGAGGCATCACTGCACGAGGGGCTGCTGGCGGAGTGGGGGCTCGTGGCGGGGGCGTGGTGGCCCATGCGCCCCATCGTCATCATCTCCACCATGCTGCTCGTACTCGCTCCCCTTGTGGCGCTCAAACACGTTGGTGAGTGAGTGAGAGGCGATCAAACACATGGGTGAGTGAGTGAGAGGTGACTTTTGGTCGACTCAAGAGTCGGCTGGTGGCGGGCGCATGGTGGCCCATGCGCCCCATCGTCATCATCTCCACCATGCTGCTCGTGCTCGCCCCTCTCGTGGCCCTCAAACACGTCGGTGAGTGAGAGAATGGCTCTCACACTCGTGGGTGAGTGAGAGCTGCTCAAACACGACGACGGTGAGTAAGTGAGAGGTGACTTCTGAGTCGATTCAAAAGTCAGCTGGTGGAAGGGGTGCGTGATGGCCCATTCACCCCATCGTCATCGTTTCCATTCCACCATGCTGCTCGTGCTCGTGCTCGTGCTCGCCCCACTCGTGGCGCTCAAACACGCGGGTGAGAAGAGTGGTACAAGGAACGAGATGACGGCAGAGGGAGCGAGGGCGGGCGGGCAGGTGCTCGTGCTGTGCTGTGTTGGTAAGCAGTAAGATTGGCGTGCTTGTGTGTGGTGTGTCATCTGGACTCTACAGAGTGTGAGGGAAGGAAGTGGTTGGGAGTGTGGTACGTACGAGTGTGAGTGAAGTGGGCAATCTGGGAATACACGGTCAGAAAAGGTGAACACTCATGCCTCGTTCCCCACCCGTACTCCTGTGCTTCCCTACCATGCCCATCATCACACATGCCACCAACAATTCCTACTAAACCCGAAAACTCCCTCCCCCTTACCCCACCCCACCTCCCCGCTCCCCCACCCCTCCCCTCCTTCCCCCCCATCCCTCCCCCCCCCCCTCAGACTCCCTGCACTACACGTCAGCGCTGTCCATAGCGCTGGCGGTGGTGTTTGTGGTGATCACAGTGGCCGTGGCAGCAGTGCAGTGGGTGCAGGGGCGCATCCAGCCGCCCCTTCTCATTCCCCACCCCTCTTCCCCCTCCTCCCCCATCCCATCCTCTCCCTTCCCCCCTCCCTCCCCCTCCCCCTCCCCCTCTCCCCTGCCTTCCCCCTCTCTCCCCCTCCCCTTCTCCCTCGCCCCCCCCCTGACTCTTACCCCCCCACCTCAGACTCCCTGCACTACACGTCAGCGCTGTCCATAGCGCTGGCGGTGGTGTTTGTGGTGATCACAGTGGCCGTGGCAGCAGTGCAGTGGGTGCAGGGGCGCATCCAGCCGCCGCGCATGCTGCCCGCCTGCTCCTCGCTCAAAGACCTCTCTGGCCTCTTCTCCGTCATGCCGGTGCGTGCGTGCACGTGGGGGAGTGTCAGGGAGCCTGGGGAAGTGTGGGGGAGTGGGACCAACAAAGGCATGCTGAGGGAGTGTGAGGGAGTATGGGTGAGCGTGAGGGAGTGTGAGGGAGTGTGAGGAGTGTGGATGAGTGTAAGGGAATGGGACAACAAAGGCATGAAGGCGCATCCAGCCTCCGCGCATGCTGCCCGCCTGCTCCTCGCTCAAGGAACTCTCTGGCCTCTTCTCCGTCATGCCGGTGCGTGCGAGACACATTGGGGAGTGTGAGGGAGTGTGGGGGAGCGAGCGAAAGCGTGAGGGATCGTGAAGAGTGCGGGTGGCTGTGAGGGAGTGGGATAACAAAGGCATGAAGAGGAGAGGTGGGTATAAACGTGTGGGCGCGGGTGAAAACGTGTGCTCTTCTCTTGAAGTTTTTGTGCGGTGCGGTGCGTGCTTTACGAGCCATTGTGGTGCGGCCGAGGCAAGGCACGGGCCTCATGGTGCTGGGTTGCATTGGCAGCATGGCATGGCATAGTGGCATGGTGTGTAGACAGTCATGGTCACGGTGGATGGGGTAAGAGAGGGTTGATGCAAGACCCAGACGCACAGCACAGGCATGACTGGGAACAGTCAGGTCAAACTGGCATGCTGCAGCATGCGTGTTCTGATGTGGCGTGTGTGGTGGTGGGTGGGGGCGGGAGGAATGGATGATTGATAGTCTGCAGCGAGCTAGCAAGGTGCTTGTTAATGGTGATAACTGACTGGCCTGTGCTTGTGTTGTACAGGCCACACCCTTCTTCCACTTCTTCCCCCCCTGCCGTTACCCTCCCTCCCCCCTCGTTTTTCTCTCGCGCTGGCCCCGTTCCCCCACTCTCGCTCTCCACCCCAGAAATTCTCGTTTGGATACCCCCTCTTCCCTCTCGCTCTCACCATCACCGCAAAGCTAATCCCCTCATCGCTCCACCGTACCTTCACCCTCATTGGCCTCTTGTGCGTGTGTGCCTCCTGCTTCACCCCTGCAGGTTATGGCAACGGCATACGCGTGCCACTACAATGGTAAGCACCTCTTCACATCTCCATCATAAAAAACCCATCATCTCCCAAGGTGCCTTGCGTGCATGCATGTCAAACACTTACCGGTACAAGTCACCTCTGGAAGTCCATTTCCAGGCAGGCAGGCAGGCAGGCAGCCGGTTCCGCTTTGTCTGCCACTGTGGTATCAGCATCGAGAATTGTCAACCTTTTCCATCCATTTCCTCTGCTCTGCATTCCTTCCATCTCACTGTTCCTCTCGTTTAACTTTTCTTTCCTCTCACCTTCCCTGCACCCGATTCTCATTCCTTACCATAATACCATCCATCTTCTCCCTCCCTTCCCTCCTCCCTCCCGTTCCCCCGCCCTCCTCCCCTCGTCTCCCCCCTCCCCCGCCCCTCCAGTGCACTCTATCTTCGTGTAGCTACAGGACGGCACCGCAATGTTGGCTGCAGTCACTCTTCCTGAGAATCCCCATACGTCTCTCCCTCCTTCTCCCTTTCCTCTCCATCTTTGTGGAGCTCAAGGGCGGCACAGCAGCAACCATGTTCCGCGTCACGCGCTCCTCCCCTCCTCTTCCCATTCCCCCTCCTCCCCTCCTCACCTTCTTCCCCTCCTCTCCCTCCCCCACTCCCCCCCTCCAGTGCACTCCATCTTCGTGGAGCTTAAGGACCGCACAGCAGCAACCATGCTGCGAGTGACCCGCTCCTCGCTTCTCCTCTGCACCACAGTCTACGTCCTCACATCCGTCTCCGCCTTCCTCCTCTTCGGCTCTAGCACTGCTTCAGACGTGCTAATCAACTTCGACCGGGATCTAGGCCTGCCGCTCTCCTCTCTCATTAACGACACAGTCCGAGTCACCTACGTCCTCCACATAGTCTTTGTATTCCCGGTGATTTTTTACTCGCTGAGAATAATCGCGGATGATTTGATTTTCCCCGGGGCGGAGAAGCCGCTACTGGAGGATGATAGGAGGTTTGCGGTGGTGACGGTGGGGGGGATGGTGCTGGTGGGGGTGGGGGCGGTGATGGTGCCGAATATCGGCCTGGCGTTTGATATCACAGGGGCTACTGCAACGATGCTGCTTGCCTTTGTCTTCCCGGCGCTGCTAACTCTCAAGTATGGCCGTTGCCATTCGTCTTGCCATCTTACTGCCTGCCATCACCTTTGCCATTGCATATTTCCATCGCTCCTTCCTTGCCATGTCACCACCTCATTACTCCTCCCCATCGCACTGTCCCATCACCCGCCCATCACCCTACCTGGCCATTGTGTGCCGTAATCATCTCATGCTCCTACTATACCTTGCTTGCACGGTACACCACTCAAACCCTCATCGCTGTGCCTGCCTGCCTCCCTTCCTTTGCTGGTGCTGATTCTGAACTGAGCCAACCCTCCGAAATGCGAATCATCCACTCCAATCCCCATGCCCCCCCCTCATCTGCTGCTCACAGGGACCGTCTGGGGCTGTTTGCATCATGGCACAGGGCAGTGGCACACTTCCTTCTTGTCTTTTCTGCACTCGTCAGCATTACAGGCCTCTCCAGTGGCCTCTACCATGCTTTTGTGTAGTCTTTATGTAACCTTGCAGAGCTCTTGGTAGTGGCTCCTACTGTCTCGTGTCGCGCCCATAGCTGCTTGCAAGAGCAGCATGTTTCCTTACATATTCTGCAGAGATGAAGCACACGGGAAGCTGTGAAAAAAATAGTGTGAAATAGTGGCTTCCTTTGATGGCTTTTTGCAGCAGAAAAACAATGCCATGAGGCTGTAATTCCAAAGTCCCTAGGGTCCTTACTCTAATTCATTCAACAATTCTTGGGATTCAGATTATAACAATTAGCATGTAGTACACTAGTTATCCTGATCTCTGAAGGACCGCCAACCGCAAGTAGATTACTTGCTGCTCCCGTACGAAGCGTCTTTGGATGGGAATGGGAGGCAAGGCACTTCTGTACAACCTACCTACACGATGTGCAATGTTGAGGAGGTTTGCTTGCAGTGTGTACACCTAGTCCGCGGTATTTTAACCACGTGAACTGTTTCGCTTCAAACCCCCTTTGTTCGTTTTTGGGTAATGAGATGGGCACCCAGAGACTTCAAGGCTATTGTTTTGCAGCCATAATCATTTCCTTATAAAGAAACTCACACTTAGTGCTCCGAAATAGAGGGCGGATCGGCATTGACCGGGTTTTGACTGCCATCGTTTCACAAAGGGTATGCTAGATTCTACCCTCATTAAATTTCAAAACTACTCATATAAAAAAGTTTGACCAAGGAGAAGTACCCTCGCGCGGTTAAGATAGCGGCGGTTAAAATACCGCGGACTAGGTGTACCATTCTCAAGTTGTGAACATGTTTGGGTGGAACTTGGATGAAACTTGGATGACACGTGCAACTTCAGCGAGCAAGTTGCAAAAAAACGCAGTTTCGCTCACCTGCCTCCCCACACACAAGGGCAAACCCGTTTTTCCGCACCGCATCATTCGAGTTCCTCGTGGGGGGCAAGTGCGAGGAGTGAAGGGAAGGCAGCAGGAAATAACAGACGGCGCTGACCCGATTGGATTGTTGTAACAGATACTGTACGGTGTTGCGTTCGAAACGGTTTGCTTTCAACGTTACAGTACGGTACTTGGCGATACAAGGGTTCGTTCCGCCTTCCAGTCAGACCTCAGTTCACCCTAAGCCAGGCCACTCTGGGCCTCTGCACTTCGCCCGAATAGTAACCCATCCACCACGTCTTCCCCACTCTGGCTTGAAGTCATATATTACCCTGAGAGGCTTTCTTCCCCCGTTCGTCCTTCTCAGGAGTGCGCGGATTCTTCGCATGCCGCCTTAGTATGGCGCAACCGTCCTCTCACAGCTTTCCCCGGAGCTCGCCCTCCCCCAGTTACTACTACACGCTGGCGGCGGCAGCGCCAGCATTCCGTGCTGTCGCCGCTCTCCTAGCATTCGTCCTCGTACTACCACTGCCGCAGTCTTTCCTCTCCGCCGCCGGAGCTGCCTCTCACAACCATGATTCCGCGGCCTTGGGAATCACCGCCGCGATGAACTGGCTGGCGCATCGCCCGCCCCGCGAATTGTCGCTTGGCCCATCATCGCATGGGTCGCACGGGTCGCATGGGTCGCATGGGTCGCGCGGGGCGATAGAGCGTCGCATGAGTCTACTTGAGAGGCCCGCATCGTCCCGCTCTTTAACATTGCTCGCTGACAGTCAGCGTAAGCCCCAACCACACGCGTTTCCCCTGATCACGCTGGCGGTCGTTTGCTTGCTCCGCTGCGCGTCCTGTAACGCCTGTGGGCATTCCGCTGCGGTAAATGACACAATTGTTTTGACCCAGTGGGGCTAGCTAGGTGTTATTCTGGATTCAGAGCCAGCGTTCAAAACCTGGCTGGTCCACATAATCCGCCTGTGGCGAGAACTTAAATGTGGTTTACCAGATTGAACCCAGCAAACGAATTCCTCTGACCTGTTCCACCAGCTAAGCTGCTGCCGCATTCTCAGCAAAACCTAGGTCCCCGTGGGGGGCCGACTCCCTGAAGTTCACAGCCAACAGGGACGTTGGCACTAGGGGGGCACGAGTGTAATGCCTGTGGGCTTTGTTGATGGGCATTCCGCTCCGCCAAATAACACAGTCGTGTTGACCCAGTGGATAGCGAGGTGTTACATCCTCGGCCGGCCTGTGTCTTCGTCTCTTCCCACCCCATTCCCCGCGCCGCCTACCCCGTCGCACACGCTGCGATTGAGAATTTAGTTCTGTCGCCGCACGTAAGCTGCTCAGTCACGTTGCTTCTATCACGGTGGACTCTTACTCTGCTGGCATGTGCTCAATTATGCTCGCTTCGCCGTGTGTTTTTGCCTCGCCACGCCCCTCCTCGCCTGTGGTGCTGGTTGCGCCGGGCGGTGGGAGGGGGGGGCGGGCGGACACACTGTTTGGTGCAGTGCGTGCGCTGGTGGCACTAAACGCCGCGTGGCAGCTGTGGCCGTCCAACTCCAACCGCTCACGGCGCTGCGACCAGTGGGAGTACATCCAGTGCAACGCGCAGGGCTTCATCACTGCTGTGTACGTCAATGATTTTATCTGCTCTGCTCTGCTTTGCTCTGCTCTGTGCTTTGCTTTGCTCTGCTGGTGTGGTGTGGGACAGTTAGCGAGCGCTGTGGGGGAAAGACAGCATTTGCGGGCACTTGAAGCAGTGCGGACGGCGCTGCTTGTGCCGTGTTTCTCCAGAAGCTTCAGCGGAAATGCAATGCGTTAGGGCGGGTGTGGTCAGAGATGTAACATGCAGAGCTGTATAGCAATGCTGCACCGCATTTGTGACTTCTGAGTCGACTCAAAAGAAGCTTCAGCGGAAATGCAATGCGTTAGGGCGGGTGTGGTCAGAGATGTAACATTCAGAGCTGTATAGCAATAATGCTGCACCGCATTTGTGACTTCTGAGTCGACTCAAAAGAAGCTTCAGCGGAAATGCAATGCGTTAGGGCGGGTGTGGTCAGAGATGTAACATTCAGAGCTGTATAGCAATAATGCTGCACCGCATTTGTGACTTCTGAGTCGACTCAAAAGAAGCTTCAGCGGAAATGCAATGCGTTAGGGCGGGTGTGGTCAGAGATGTAACATTCAGAGCTGTATAGCAAGAATGCTGCACCGCATTTGTGACTTCTGAGTCGACTCAAAAGAAGCTTCAGCGGAAATGCAATGCGTTAGGGCGGGTGTGGTCAGAGATGTAACATTCAGAGCTGTATAGCAATAATGCTGCACCGCATTTGTGACTTCTGAGTCGACTCAAAAGAAGCTTCAGCGGAAATGCAATGCGTTAGGGCGGGTGTGGTCAGAGATGTAACATTCAGAGCTGTATAGCAATAATGCTGCACCGCATTTGTGACTTCTGAGTCGACTCAAAAGAAGCTTCAGCGGAAATGCAATGCGTTAGGGCGGGTGTGGTCAGAGATGTAACATTCAGAGCTGTATAGCAATAATGCTGCACCGCATTTGTGACTTCTGAGTCGACTCAAAAGAAGCTTCAGCGGAAATGCAATGCGTTAGGGCGGGTGTGGTCAGAGATGTAACATTCAGAGCTGTATAGCAATAATGCTGCACCGCATTTGTGACTTCTGAGTCGACTCAAAAGAAGCTTCAGCGGAAATGCAATGCGTTAGGGCGGGTGTGGTCAGAGATGTAACATTCAGAGCTGTATAGCAATAATGCTGCACCGCATTTGTGACTTCTGAGTCGACTCAAAAGAAGCTTCAGCGGAAATGCAATGCGTTAGGGCGGGTGTGGTCAGAGATGTCACATGCAGAGCTGTGTTGCAATGCTGCCCCGCATTCGTGATCTCTATTGCCATTGACTCCACAAGTGCATGCGTGTGTGTGTGTGTGTGTGTGTGTGTGTGTGTGGGTGTGTGTGTGTGCGTGTGTGTGTGCATGTGTGTTTTTTTGAGCGTGTGTGCGTGTGTGTGTGTGCGCGTGTGTGTGCGTGTGTGCGTGTGTGTGTGTGTGTGCGTGTGTGTGTGTGTGTGCGTGTGTGTGTGAATCTGTGTGTGTATGTGTGACTCTGTGTGTTCGTGTGCGTGCGCGCACACACACACACATGGTCGCATGGATCTCTGTCCTTCTTTATTGCAACACCTTGTTTCCTACAGCGTACTGCCTGACGTTGGGATCGACGCGACCATGCCTCTCAATGTCTTCTCCTCCATGCTTTATCTCAGACGCCTGTACGTCCCTTGCTCCCATACCACCGCCCCTCCCTACCTCCCTGTTCCATTTCTCTCACCCCATCCTCTGACGCCATACGTCACCTTGTTTCATTGTTTCCTTCATATCACCCAGCAAGACGCCAATCTGCGTTATTGAGGATGCTTTTAGAAGCCAGATTGCCTCCCAAGCTCCCATACGCTCGCCTGTTTGCTTCGTCGCAGTTTCTCTTCCACTGCTGTTGTTCCCTCTGTGTCTTTTCTTTACGTCATGCCCATGATCCTGCGGGCGTTCCTCACGTTCCTCACGTTCCTCACGTTCCTCACGTTCCTCACGTTCCTCACGTTCCTCACGTTCCTCACGTTCCTCACGTTCCTCACGTTCCTCACGTTCCTCACGTTCCTCACGTTCCTCACGTTCCTCACGTTCCTCACGTTCCTCACGTTCCTCACGTTCCTCACGTTCCTCACGTTCCTCACGTTCCTCACGTTCCTCACGTTCCTCACGTTCCTCACGTTCCTCACGTTCCTCACGTTCCTCACGTTCCTCACGTTCCTCACGTTCCTCACGTTCCTCACGTTCCTCAC